AGGTTTGGCTTCTAGGTTTCCATCATCTTGGCTTCCATCATCTTGATTGCCCTTCTCTGCACCCATTCCAGTTTGTCAACATCCTTCTTAAATTGTGGTGCCCAGAACTGGAAACAGGACTGAAGTGACTTCCCTGGGGTGCAAGCCTGGGCAGTGTGTATGGAGGTACTGGGCTGCCCAGCCTTGTCAATGTGGTCCAAAGGAAAGCAAAGTACCGTATTTTTCACTCTATAGGACACACTTTTTCCCCATCAAAAATTAAGGGGAAATGTGTGTGCGTCCTATGGAGCGAATGCAGGCTCCTTGGCTTCAGCGATAGCAACACGAAGCCTCCAAAGTGCAGAGGGAGCACTCCCTCCGCACTCCGGAGGCTACGCATTGCTTTCGCTGAAGCCTGGAGAGCGAGAGGGGTCGGTGCGCACCGACCCCTCTCATTCTCCAGGCTTCAGGGATAGCCGCCTGAAGCCTTTGGAGCGCAGCGGGAACTTGCGCTGCGCTCCGAAGGCTTCGGGTTCCTTTTGCTGAAGCCGGGAGAGCAAGACTCTCCTGGCTTCAGCAGAGAGGGAGAGCTGCGCAGTGCCCCTTCAGCCAAGCGGGAGGAGAAATGGAAGGGGCTCCGTTTCTCCTGCCGCTTTGCTGAAGAGGCGCTGAGCAGAGAGGGGGAGAATTTTTTTTCTTGTTCTCCCCCTCTAAAACAAGGTGCGTCCTATGGTCAGGTGCATCCTATAGAGCGAAAAATACGGTAATGTGTTGGGAACTAGCTTTGCTGTAGGAGTTACTTGAAGGAGGTGTACAAGATGCCATCCAACTGCCTTTGGGATTCTACTCCAGATTTGTGTAGGGTTTAATCCTTAGCCTTTTGTTTGGCAGCAGAGGTTTAGGACCATAGCTTCCCTTCTCCTAGATAAACTACCTTCCCAGGTTGATGAGCCCCATCTACCCCTCATTTCGCTCTATAAGCATGTCCAGAAACCACCTTCCTGACTGTTGGATGCACTCTTGGTCTCATGCGTTCAATCTGCTGGCGCCTGTCTTTTGCATGCAGGCTCTAACTCACTGAGGGTTTGAGACCAATCGGCCACTCTCATCTGGCCAGTCAATCAATGTATCATAATCATCGATGTATTGAATTAGACAATACTACAACCCCAATCCATGGGTGTGGTACATGTGGGAATGTTCAGGGTGGCAGGAGAGGATATATTGTTTAATTATATCCTTCCCAACTTGTGTTAACAAGTTCTACAGTTTAGCAGAGTAACATTCCCCCTTTTAAACTTGTACAGCAGATAATGTCTTTGCTAGGCTTGTTTAAGCCTCTAAAATAAGTTTCCTGGTAATTCCCCTTTATTCCCTCATAAAAAGATTAGACACGACACAGTCTTGTATAAAAGAGTTTACTCACACACATTCTGTTCACAGATGGATCCCAGAAGGCAGACTTAAGTTAAAAATATATACACCTGGAATCTATCCCATAAGGAGATAGTTCCTTTGTCCAGAAAGATGTTGCTTCTTTGAGGAATGGAGTCGGAGAGAGATATGGCTGCCTCCCCTGTGCTGTTTTGTTACCTGTGCAGGTGAGGTCACACCCACCTCTGGTCACATGTAGAGGAAGTCTGTCCCAGTCCAGGAGGAAACGGGAAGTTCTGACTGGCTGGTCCAAACATCCCCTTTTTATGCCCACTCTAGGAATGTTGTATTTGACTGCTCTACATTTCACATCCCACAGTACACCATAAAGTAACAGCCATGGAATCCAACTGCAAAGTCTAGCAGCATCTTTTGAGCCCTACCCTGCTGGAAGGGTGGAACCACAACATAGTGGCTCCTAGATGCAATCCAGACTGGCAGTCCATAATGATGATTTATGGATGTCACGCTGTGAAATTGCCATCTGCAATTTGAGGTTACTTGGGGAGCATTTGAGGTTACTTGGGGAGCAAGTCACCATGGTGCAGTAAATAATATAGGTGTACTACTACTACTTCCTGCCAACCTAGCAGTTCGAAAGCACATCAGTGCAAGTAGATAAATAGGTACCGCTCCAGCAGGAAGGTAAATGGCGTTTCCGTGCACTGCTCTGGTTCACCAGAAGCGGCTTAGTCATGCTGGGCATATGACCCAGAAGCTATACGCTGGCTCCCTCGGCCAATAAAGCGAGATGAGCGCCGCAACCCCAGAGTCGGTCACGACTGGACCCAATGGTCAGGGGTCCCTTTACCTTTTTACTACTACTACTACTACTACTAATTTATTTATTTATATGCTCCTCATCTGACAGGGTTGCCTCTGCCACTCTGGGTGGCTCCCAACAAAAAATAGTAAAAAACAAACAAACAATACAACATCACACACTAAAAACTTCCTTGAACAGGGCTGCCTGTTTATCTGTTTAACATCTGCTGGGAGGGTGTTCCTTGGAGCAGGTGTGACTACTGGAATGGCCCTCTGCCTGGTTCCCTGTCACCTCACCTCTTGCAATGAGTGAACCACCAGAAAGCCCTTGGACCTGGACCTCACGAACGACGGGGGTGGAGATGCTCTTTTAGGTACCTGGGTGACCTTGGGCCAGTCACACTTCCTTGAAGTCTCTCAGCCCCACTCACCTCACAGAGTGTTTGTTGTGGGGGAGGAAGGGAAAGGAGAATGTTAGCCGCTTTGAGACTCCTTAAAGGGAGTGAAAGGCGGGATATCAAATCCAAACTCTTCTTCTTCTTCTTCTTTAGGGCTTTAAAGGTCGGCACCAACATTGTGAGTTATGCTCAGAAATGTTGTTGTTGTTGTTTAGTCGTTTAGTCGTGTCCGACTCTTCATGACCCCATGGACCAGAGCACGCCAGGCACTCCTGTCTTCCACTGCCTCCTGCAGTTTAGTCAGACTCATGTTTGTAGCTTCGAGAACACCGTCCAACCATCCTCTGTCGTCCCCTTCTCCTTGTGCCCTCAATCTTTCCCAACATCAGGGTCTTTTCCAGGGAGTCTTCTCTTCTAATGAGGTGGCCAAAGTATTGGAGCCTCAGCTTCAGGACCTGTCCTTCCAGTGAGCACTCAGGGCTGATTTCCTTCAGAATGGAGAGGTTTGATCTTCTTGCAGTCCATGGGACTCTCAAGAGTCTCCTCCAGCACCATAATTCAAAAGCATCAATTCTTCGGCGATCAGCCTTCTTCGATCTGCTATGGATTAAGTCATTCTCCACCTATCAGAAATGTACTGGGAGCCAAAGCAGGTCTTTCAGGACAGGTGTTATATGGCCCCAGTCACCAGTCTGGCTGCCGCATTCTGGATTAGTTGTAGTTTCCGGGTCACCTTCAAAGGTAGCCCCATGTAGAGCACATTGCAGGAGTCCAAGAGGGAGATAACCAGCGCATGTACCACCCAAGTGATGCGCCTGACTCAATGAATTCAGTAAATGATATGACAGCATGAGAAAGGCAATTTCCCCTGAAATGTGCTGCTGCTATGGATTAAGTCATTCTCCACCTATCCCCACCCCACCCCCCAGTATCCACCAGTCTACTGAATCCATTGCCATGTCCCTGAGGGAGGGAAGCAGTCCATTAGCGAGCACGTGATTCAGAATGCCTCTCTGAGGTTGGAAGTCGATGACCTCAATTCGAGGTGGTCGGTGGCTCAGGAGAACGGCGCGGACCAGCACCGAGTTGAGATGAGGTTGGCGGCCGCTATTGGCTGACGTGGCAGAATCCGATCTAGCTGCAATGCCTCTGTGCGGAGCCCCCGCAGCAGACGGGAGTGCATGCGCTCCTGTGCGGCTCTTCCATTGCAGCAGCTCCTTGCCGGAGTGGAGGCGGGGAGCGGGCGGTGGTGGTGTTGAGGCGCAGAGAATTGCACCAGCTCAGCTGCTCTGCAGGTGCATCCCTCTTCATTGGCCAGCCCGGGCCTGCTGCTGCTGCGGCGGCGGCGGCGGGAGGGGGAAGGCGCATTTGCTGCACTCTCTGCAGGTTTCCCTGCCCTCGTGAAACCACTAGCCAAGGGAGCGGCTAGAAGGCAGCCGAAGCAGCCGCGGGCCTGACGGCGCCCCCACCGTCGCTCTCGGGCCGGAGAGCGCGGGAATGTCCCACTAACCTATATGCTGTGACCAGCTAGAGTCCCATAAACAGACGGGCGCCTTGCGAACGAGCGCGGCTAACGGGGCGCTCGACGGGGCGGCCCAAGTGCCGCAGGGTGGGGTGGGGTGGGGGTCTCTGGATCCCGAGAAAAGGGAGGATGTGGGCAGTAAGGCGGAGAGCGGCTCTTGCGCGCCTAGGCACAGGGCCTGCTCCAGGAGATGCAACGGAGCAGGGCAATGCGGTATTGGGGGGGGGGTCGCCACAAGTCTCCAGCAAACGTCCGCAGAGGCAACAGGCGCTTACCCTTTTGGGGGTGGGGGAGAAGCGGCCTCTCACCCACCCAGGCACCTCTCCTTCGCCCAAACTCGACCCGGGACCGCCGCCGACCTTGCCGTCCGGGCCCCCCTCCCGGGTCATTGCGACGGGCTTGCACCCCGGGGGTGGCGTGCGAGGCGCTCCCCCTGGCTTCGCAGGGCAGATGGGCGGCGGCGGCAGCTTCTCCGCGAGCGGGGGCGCCCTCGGGTCCGGCGCCGCAACGCGCCTGGCGGCGCTGCCTGCATTGCGTCGGGGAGCGGGGGGGACCTCTCCGGTGCGCAATGCCGAATCCGCGCGAAGGTCGCGGAGGGGAGGCGGCGCGGAGGAGCCTCCCCAGCCCGCGGCCAAAGGTCTCGGCCGGCTGGCGGGGCCTGGGGAAAGAACGCCACCCAGCCCCCCACCCACCCCGCGCCAGACGGCTCTCGCAACGCCCCGGCCGCCCGGCCGCTCGCCTTGCGCCCAGGTCTGTGCGCCCGGAGGTGGCCGCCGCCGTTGCGCGCCTTCCCCGCCGCCTGCCGGCCTGCCAGGTGCCGCGTGTCCTGCGGCGGCGGCGGCGGCTGCCCCCGCCCCTCCCTCCCTCGGTGCTCCGGGGGGACCCGCGCGCAGGAGCAGCAATGCGCCTTGGCCAGTGTCCGCCTGAGCCGCGTCCGGGACGGGCGAGCGAGCAGAGGCAGCCGGCTGCCGAGGCCCCCGGATCCCGCTGGGCTTGGAGAGAAGAAGGGACCCCCCGCACCAGCAGCACCACCACCCGGTCCCTCCTCCTCCTCTTCCTCCTCCTCCTGCTCCTCCCCCTCCTCCCCTCGCCCACCCCCTCGATGCGCTGCCTGCCCATGCCTCCTCCTGAACTGCCAGCCTCCTCTCGCTGCAGCCCAATGAATATTTCGCTGTATGAATATTTCACCATCTCGCAGGCGGCTCTGTAAAGCGATCCGTAGATTCTCCCCGAGAGGGAGCAGGAGCAGGAGCAGGAGGAGGCGGCGGCGGCGAGTGTGCGCCGCTGCGCCTTAGATGCTGCTCCTGCTGCAACAACTGCAAGGCGAAGAAGCGCCTTGACGCATTCCGGCCGGGGCTCGCTCGCTCCTCGCCTGCGCTGCTGCTGCTGCTGCTGCAACGGCCCCCGCCGGCCTCCCCGCGGCAGGTAAGGAAGGCTCCTCCGAGGCAAGTTGCCTGCTCCTTGCAGCGCGGGGTTGGCTTCGGGGTGGGGGGCGCTGCTCCAAGAAGTATGTGCAGTGGCACATTTACTAGTTGCAAAGCCTTTTCTTTCCCGCGCGCTCTTTCCTCCCACCCCCGCGCCAATTTGGAGAGGTTTTTCTCCCCGGATTCTCTTCTTATTAAGAAAGATCGTGGTATTCCAAACCCTCTGGTTTTTTTTGGTGTGTTTTTTGCTCGCACATCGTTCAGGCGGATGTGGGCTGTAAGGCAAAAATTGCGAAGCGAAGGAAGTCTTGTTAAGTAGGGATTGAGAAGTTACGACGAGCAGGAACGCAGGACTTCGTGAAGGGCACCCATTCGAAATTCATGTGTGCATGGAAGTATGTTAATTTGCGTTACCGGACTGCTGCTTTAAGGGTTGGGCTGCAGCCTGGAAAGAGTTGCATGATGTTGGAGAGCACTGGAATTGCTGTGCATTTGTGTCTTGGGGTGGGGAGAGAGAGAGGTGTTTTTATGCCTATGCTTCTTGTCCCTTTACAGTATCTACCAGTTGCCTCGAAGTGAGCTTTATTCCTTAAAAACATAAAATAAAAACAAAGAGGAGGAAGGGGCCATTCCAGAGCAAAGTGGGAAGTCCGCGGATATTGCTGAGTCGGCATTTCAAGCAGTCTCCTTCCAGTCACCGTGCTTATTTATTTATTTTATTGAGGGGAAGTGTGTGACAGCAGCCGCAATACAGCAGCAGCAGCAGCAGCAGCATGGTCACATCCTGGAGAAAAACAAAAGGACTGCATTAAAAGACAGAGGGAAACTGCTCCGAAGGGACCCCAGTCTCGCTGTGTTGCATGTGTGTTAAGAGACCCCAGACGTCTCTTTGTCCTTTGATGAAGCTGCAGGACCTCTCTCCCTTTTTTCTTCCCACCCTCCCCAATGACCAGCGCCCTATAGGTCCTTTCCCCGCCTAGCCTGGATGCCATTCAACCTACCCCTGTTCCCTTATCCTTGAGCTTCCCATCCCCAATCCCCATTCTCCATCCTGTTTTCCTGCTCTGGGAGTTGTCCACACCAAGGGCCTCACCTCTCTTTTGCCCCTCTCCATGCTCTGATTCTGCATCTATATCCAGTATCGGTCTCCTCTGAAGTCCTCAATTCTTCACTCTCCTTCAGCTCTGGCGGCTTCTGATCCCAGAACTCTTCTCCTTCCGCATCCCATCACGTCTTCTAGTGAGTCTGTCCTTCCCACCCGTAGCTGCCATGACGGTGATGGCCGGGGACAATATGGACGAGACTTCTGCCTTGCCAGGTCACCCCCAGGACAGTTATCGACCTGGGGCCCACGATGACCACGAATGTTGTGAGAGGGTTGTGATCAACATTGCTGGCCTGAGATTTGAGACGCAGCTGAAGACCCTCGCTCAGTTTCCCAACACTTTGCTGGGTAACCCCAAGAAACGCATGCGATACTTTGACCCCCTGAGGAACGAATATTTCTTTGATCGGAACCGGCCCAGCTTTGATGCCATCCTCTATTACTACCAGTCTGGAGGGCGGCTTCGCAGGCCTGTTAACGTGCCTCTAGACATGTTCTCGGAGGAGATTAAGTTTTATGAACTGGGAGAGGAGGCCATGGAGAAGTTCCGGGAAGATGAAGGTTTCATCAAAGAGGAAGAGAGGCCGCTGCCTGAGAAGGAGTACCAGCGGCAAGTGTGGCTGCTCTTTGAATACCCTGAGAGCTCTGGGCCAGCTCGGATCATTGCAATAGTCTCCGTCATGGTGATCCTCATCTCTATAGTGATCTTTTGCCTGGAAACTTTGCCAGCGTTGAAAGAGGACAGGGAGTATATGGGACCCCGAAACCGCAGCGACAACTCGACAGTCTATTACAAGTCCAATATCTTTACTGACCCCTTCTTCGTGGTGGAGACTCTGTGCATCATATGGTTTTCTTTTGAATTGGTGGTGCGCTTTTTTGCCTGTCCCAGCAAAGCCGAGTTCTTCAAGAACATCATGAACTTCATTGACATAGTAGCCATCATCCCCTACTTCATCACTCTGGGTACAGAGATGGCTGAGCAGGAGGGGCCTCAAAAGGGAGAGCAGGCCACCTCTCTGGCTATCCTGAGAGTCATCAGACTGGTAAGAGTCTTTCGAATCTTCAAACTCTCCAGACATTCTAAGGGCCTCCAGATTTTGGGACAAACCCTCAAAGCGAGCATGAGGGAGTTAGGGTTACTAATCTTTTTCCTCTTCATTGGGGTGATTTTGTTCTCCAGTGCGGTGTATTTTGCTGAAGCTGAGGAACCTGGCACCTATTTCGACAGCATCCCCGATGCTTTCTGGTGGGCAGTGGTTTCCATGACCACTGTAGGATATGGTGACATGTACCCTGTGACAATTGGAGGCAAAATCGTGGGCTCCTTGTGTGCCATTGCTGGTGTGCTGACAATTGCCCTGCCTGTACCTGTCATTGTGTCCAACTTCAACTACTTCTACCACCGAGAAACAGAAGGGGAAGAACAGGCTCAGTTACTTAAAGTTAGCTCTCCTAATTTAGCATCTGACAGTGATCTGAGTCGCCGTAGCTCCTCCACAATCAGCAAATCTGAGTACATGGAAATTGAAGAGGATATGAATAATAGCATAGACAATTTTAGAGAGGCTAACCTCAGAACTGGCAACTACACCATAGCCAACCAAAACTGTGTTAATAAAAGCAAGCTGCTGACTGATGTTTAAGAACATGTAGAAAAGAGAAACATTGGCAGCTTGAAGACTTTAAGTGACCAGCAGTCACACTTTGTAGATGCTTTACTCTTCGAATGCTTTACCTCGTAAATGCATTGTTGCATTGCGAATTTTTGCTCAGCGATTCAATAAGCTTTCAGGATCCTTGAAAGAATTTCACTTTTCCTTTTGTTTTCTTTTAAAAGGGTATTTTCCAAGTGGTGGAAATGGTTACTAAAGCTCTTTGGACTAGCCTAGTTATAAATAGAAATTGTATGCTTCTAGCCCTAGACATTTCCCCATAACTTTTAAGTTTCCAACCGTTTTAAAAATCAGCTCAAGAGGACTCTAAAAAAAATACTTAAAATATGCATGGATTCAAGGAAACGTTTCTACAAAACTGCACAGTGCATCCAAGAAAATGCATCCAAATAATATTCAGCAGTAATGTGCAGTAAGTATTTGTCATTCTTTAGACTGACCGACATATACATTTCCTTACTTTGTGAAAAGTTTTGTAGTTCTGATCTACAGATTCACACACAGCACCTTATGAAAATATGCCAGGTTTTTTTTGTTTTTTGTTTTGTTTTTGCTGTATACACTATTAAAATCGAAGAATTATTCTGTGTGTTGGGGGGAAGATGGAACATCTGCAATGCTGCTAAGGTCTCTTAAGTGCAGATGGTTTCAACATACTTCTTTCCCTTCTTCAGAAATGGATGCAAAACTTTTTAGCCCCTTTGTTGCAAGATAGCACAATAGAATTTAATATAAGCATGTTTGACTTTGATACTATCTATTTTATAACTGCATGCCTGGAACATTACCTCAGATGATAGGGGATAAGGTTTTGTTTGAATTGATCTTCTTTAAAATAGGCCCTTTTTTTGTTTCAATTTGCATTCACCAAAGTGCACTCCTTTTTATTTGTTAAGTATCTGATTAGTAACTTAAAAGTACTGTATTTAAGTGCATATGTTAGTCAAATGGGAACAATAACTTTTGGAGATCAGAGCATGTTTCAAATATTCAGCATTATGGCCTATTTGACTAAGGTGTAACTCAACATTAATTAATGCATGGTTTCAGTAATAAATACAAAACAAAAAAAAAAGCTTGTTAGGATGAAGGCCAGGAAGGGAATACTAGAGAGACGTGTTGTTTTCCTGCATTGCTCAGGGAAATGAGTTGGCTTCTGTCCGGGCCTTAATAGAAAGTAACATATCCCATCCCTTAAAGGGAAAGCTATATGGAAAATTAAGTCCAGTTTATATATAGCAATGTCTAAATATTCTGTATCTCCTAGAGCAGAAAAAGGTGCAGAAGCATGCCTTTTGGTGCATTCTTAGAATGTAAAATGAAACTTATCGATTATATGCATCCAAATTGCAGCCCAGTTATTTTCGCAGTCATTGTTTGAACCTTAGAGACTTTTGTATCCCCCTAAGGACTTGCTGAAGAGACTCAACCAATTGATTTTAGATAGTTGCTTAGTGCCTTTATCCTTACAGCCACTGGACCGCTGAAAGTGCCTCTATGAAAAGAGCTGAACCTGAGTAGGCATGGATGAGTCAATTGGGACAATAGCAGGATTCGACCATGCCAAATGCAGGCACAGCAGAAAAAGCCAGGGAGAAAGACAGTGTGTAAAGCAGAGAGGCAGAAGAAGAGGGCAGAGACTACCAGCACTCTTGCAGACCTAATTTCCTCCTGTACTCTGCACCCTGCAGCTGAGTGACATTGCAACCTAACATTTGCCTTTGACAAATGCTACTCCCGCAAGACCCAGTCTTCCCCCAGTCTGTTTATAGAGACTTTGCTGCACTCTGTGTTCATTTTGTTTGTTTTTCGTATTGGCCCATTCTTCCCCTGGTTTGGACCTTGGCAGCCTGGCATCCTACACTAGAGGAAGTAAGGGCCACCCTTTGCAGTAGCCTTAGCTATGCAAGGAGCAGGTTGGATGGAGGCATGTCGAATCTGTACACTTGCTCCTCTTAGAGGCTTCTGCTTTTCCAACGGAGCTCTCATCCTTTCCACCCAAATTCTCTTGGATTTTAAAATTTGACTCGCCTGAAGCTTTCCCATCCATTGTAACAACTCTCCTCCTGTTGTGTTTGTTGAAGGTTGCAGCATTTTCTGAGAAGGCATTTTCTGCAATTATGCAAGTCTTGAAGCTATAGTCCATAGAAATCAATAAGTCCATTTTTATTTTTTTACTGATATAGGCACTAATCTTTTTTTTTACTTTTTCCTTCTAAAAGTCAAAGTTGAGGCTCTTTCTCCCATGCTTAGCATGTGGCCTTACACACTGAACCCTCTTTTCCATTACATAGATCCCAGGCCTCCATTCTATTCTCAGTATTCTATTTCTCAGCAGCTACGGATATCTAGCATTTACATTGGAAAAGGAGCATTCATTCTGCAGCTTTGCCCAAACCTGGTATGTCAGGTAGACAGAAAGATGCAACTTTGTGACTTGTTTGGTTCAAAATGGTAGGAGGAACAGAAGGACCTCTTAAATACTGACTGCAGCATATTCAGAAAAAATAATAATATTGTAGTTGATGGGAAGCTCTACCTTATTTTCCATTCTCAGTATCCAGTTTATCCCCAATTTAGTCACAGTTTCCCCTGCTAGAGTGCTAGATTTGGTGGTCTACCTTGATTCCTCCAAACTCCTAAATTTAGGGAAGGTCTTCATTCGCCTGTTAAACTGACTTTGAACATTGTGTGTAGTTATCTCAGCAATAATCAGCTCAGTGCCGTATGGGGTCTTTGATCAGGAAGTGCTACCTGAGAGAGGATGATGAGGCCTCAGTTGGGCAGCTTGGTGGGTTTCTGTGTTGACTGGCTGGGTTATCCTCACCTTAGTTTATCTGCTGGACTGATCCTTATTCTGCATGTTTAAGAGAAAGTATGCATGCCATGCAGTGGTTTGGTTTATGGCTTCCCCCTTTTGCTTTTGGCAGGGATAGGTGATCTTTAGGGCTTGTGGGGTGGCTTGGGGAATATGATTGTCGCTTACTCATTTATAACAAAGGGACTGGGCAAATATGGAGTGCAGGGAATAACTTCATGTAGCATAGGCATGCATTTCTTCCAGCAAGGATTTTCCTCCCCTTAAAATCAGACTCAGTCCTTTGCACTAATACGTGCTGAAATGCGTTTGTAGGTCTGAAGGTGCACTAAACTACTGCCTGATTCTTAATACACCTTTTTGTTTTTAATTTCCTTTTCTGCCATCTTCTGTTTTGGTGAACTGATGGTTTCTCAAAAGTGAGTGGCTGTAGCTTGCCCCCAGTAGGAGTGATCTGAAAATGGACACGGCGAATCATGGATTTGCTGGCATTTGGTTACTGCAGTGCTGTAGCAATGTCTCTCCATCCATTGGTCTGGACTCCTGGTTTGTGATGTTGTGCTGACACAGTCGCTGGCTGTTCAGTATTTATTTGCTGATTCATCAAGGGTGCGAATCAGGCTGTAGGCTTAGCAGGTTTAACTCAAGGAAGGGCAAGGGCAAAGTTTCCAAAGGCCTAGAATTAGTTGGCGTTTCCTTAATCTTAACATTGCTCTTACCTTAATCTTGACCTTGGTACAGAGGTGGCCTTTAAGTAAGGGCAGAGGAAGGGGCTGACTCCTGAAGTACGATCCACTGGGAAGCTCTTCAACACAAAGCTCACGGAAGTGAACAGAGATGTGCAAGGTCATTGCAGTGCTTTTGTGCTGTTCCCATTCACTTCAGGGTGGCCTGCGCAGGATACTGCCCAGCGCTAGGCTAGTGCCAGTTTGGGGGGGGGGAGAGGCTGCTTGGATGTTCTGCTTTAGATACCAAAAAGGCTTGGAATGGCTCTTTTTTTTGACATGGAAGCAACTAAAATCAACTGGACGACATAAGCGGGAGATCATTGAATAGGAACACACTGCAGGGATACAATGCAGTATCTCTTCCAAGGACAGGGAAGTTAGTGACCCCCCCCACCCCAAATACTGACCCAAAACACGTATAGAAATAGGACTAACTGTGTAATGCCATATAGAAAGATTGGAGATAAAGGTACATAAGGCCACATTCTATCACTGTTATTATAAAATAAAATAAAAATCCCCAAAGCAAATTTTAACTGAAATGGGAGTCCTTATCTCCTTAGCTCCTGTGAAATCAGTATATTTTCTTATTGCATGTTATTATGGAGACCGTTACTGACATACTTTTAAAAGGCGACATGGAAATAAGAGGATGTGTGTTATTTGTTCGAAGTGGAGTTCAACTCACATTGAATATTGTCGATTATTTCCATTAAAAGACCCATTTATTTTGATGACTGCTTGGCCTGATCTGTGCTAAGGGCAGGGGGAAAGGTAAACCTGCTCAGAGTCTATGTATACCACTTCAGACCGCAGGTCACAGTTGTGTGTGGGCAGGGAGTATGCTGGAAACCTCTCCCCCTCTCAATGTCATCACACAATCTATCAGGGAGAAGGCTGGGCTGCAAACCATTTCTCTCATATCTGGACCTTGCTGTACATTTTTAGGCTGCGGATGAGACTGCATATGTCTGAATGACCCAAACCTTCCCTGCACATGGAAAATGAGTCTATTGGGAAGAAAGTTTCTCATACAACCTTCTTAACATGTTAGTTTTCCTTGTTCCGAGAATTTACTTTTTCGTGGTGGAGCACTGAATCATGCAAGCTCTTGTCTACAGTTGGAAGCCAAGCCAGGGTTTACCACCTTTGCGACAATTAGTTTTCTATGTGCAGTGAGTTGTTTTTTGTTTTTACAAAACATAATAATGTGATTCCTCCTGTCTCTAGTCCAATGTGGAACTGTCCAGAAAATGCTTTGCCATGTCACCTGCTGTTTGGGTACGCCAGACTTCTGTTCCTACTAAATATCTGGTGTTGGGGCCTGAACAAATTAATTCGTCTGGCAGAGTCCTGTCCCCTAAACATTTAATTGTGGTTTCTATACCTATTCAGGTTTTTTTGAGTCCTGACCTATCTGTTCAAGTCCTCCATACAAATAAAGCTCTCAGCTGGGGTGTAAATAATTACAAAATGGAGTATTTGGAGCTGAGCGTTACAGTTCTTATTGAGGAAGCACACGGAGAAAGACGAGTGAAGCTATGTCTTGTATCCTCTCCCCTTAAGTTTTTTGTAGACATGCATTCACTTATTAGTGCAGGATTTTTGGGTGTTTTGTGGGGTACTAAAACTACAGCACATGTGAAAGATGAGGCATAATGTGTGATTTAAAAATAAAATTGAGGGACCGTTTAGTACATCTTGCCAAACCACAGTTCATATGATAGAAAATGCAAGACCTGCAACACGTCACAAACTTTGTTACATGAGTTGAGAAATTTGTCAGTTAACAAAATTTTTTTTTGCCCAGAAGGCTGAATATTCTTTATGGTTTCAATATGTTTTTTTTAAAGGGTATGAGCTGAACACACAACACTTTCTCCTATATGTAATTTCTGTAGTATTGTCAGACATAATCAAGAAAAGTAAAACCATATTAAAAGTTAAATTTCCCTTCCCTTGTTAGGGACCATTTGGTTCCATATGCAGTTAGAACTGACGATTCTATAGTTGGTCTTTTAAAATTAAATTTTCATTTCTTTTTAAAAGACAGTTAGGTGACATAATTTTTGTTATATTCTGAAATACTTCTAGACATAAATCAGAATTAAGCACTGTCTTTATTTTAATTGACAGATTTAAAAATATCTGTAACCCCCCCCATTTTCTTTCTGTGGGTGCTGAATAAATTAGGCCACAAACGTGCATATGATCAGGAAATAGCATGCCTTGCCTTTTTTCAAAGAATTGTAATCAATTTGAGATTTTTACTCCGATTTTGTTGGGAAAACAAATCCTTGTTCATATCTATGTTGATCAGTTGTTCCACTCCTCTAGTCGTACTATATATGATTTATACTTTTTAAAGTCTTCCCTGTCCAGCTGCCATTTGAACACAACTGAATTCTTTGGGAGTATATTTATATTTGATTAAATTGTTGCTTCAGTAGCATTTCTATAAATGTGACTGGAATCAAATGTATATTTTACTTTTGTACAAAAGTAAAAAAAAAAGAGGATATTTTTGTGACTAAATTTAGCAAAGAAGAATACATTAGAACTTAACTTTGGTTTTCCAAGACATTTCTTAAACACACTTTCCCCCCTAGCACATTGGTTTGAAACTATGTAAATAACAGCTGTGGGTAGGAATGTATATGGATTCTTTGACATACCTCTCATTTTAACGATGCAGTATTACTGTTGAACAAGGTCACAGAATGGTTCTTTGCAGAAAAGTGCACCATCAGGGCGACAAACCATGGAAGCTGACATGGGTCTATTGATTTCCGTAATTTACAAATTGCTTACACTTTGAGTCAAGTATGTACCTCATTGTCATATTACTGCTGATTTGACTTAACCATAGCTGAAATGGTTTGGTTTGTCAACTTTTGAGACAGCAAATGTTATGAGTTTATATTTAAAACATATAAAATGCATAGTTTTCATCTATGCAATTTTACTTGCTTCTGTCACTTTTATCGTCTGTTCATACTTGGCATCTATTAAAGATAATTTTTAAGGATCTTATTCAGATATGCTGTGACTGGTTTATTGGAGTCCTGTTTTTCTCCTGTTCCTTCCCTTGGGGAGATTTTGGGAGTACATGGATGACAAGAAAAGGGGTCTAGGACTCAAGATATTGGACCATGGAAATGTGAGGAAGAGGAAAATGCGAGAGAGGAGTCTGGGGGGGAAAGGAGACCATGGTCAGAGAGGAGATCTGCACGGTGGTGAAGACCTGCAGAGATTTCAACCAGCATATTGATACCAAATCTTTGGCTACAGGCCTGTAGTAAAAGTGAAATGGGCTAGCTCCCTTTCCCCCCTTACTTGATCTATATTCTTTTAAAAGAGCTTTTGTGTGTGCTAGTGATTGGCACTTGGCTGTGCTGCTGGAGGAGGTGATGGATGGGGTTGAGAACATTGGGTTGTGATAGATCTGCAGCCCTGGTCCTTTGCTCCTGTGCAGGTGTTACATCTTAATCTCTATGATTGCTGAATCAAAATAAGGTAATATGATCAGACACAGATGACCTGATGTTCCTCCTCCACCTTGCTCCTTAGAATTTAAATGATAAAGATGGGCAATATTAAGAGTAAATACTGAAATAACTTCTTTGTGTTCCACTAGGGAGATGAGCAGGGTACAGAACGGTTCAGACAATAACTTTTGGGCCAGATGGCATTTAAAATTGATCCTTTTTAAAGCTTTTGAGATGCACTGGAACCGTTCCTTGAAGTCTGGAAGATCCCTAACCTGCTAATATGGAACGTTCAGTCAATATTGTTCCAAATAATTTTGGATCCTACCTGTGATATCAGGGGACAATCTTATATTTGGTTATAGTAATGTGTATAATAGTTTGAATAATTGCTGTATTTAATTTTTTTGGTAACCCATGAGGTAAAGGTACCCTTGACCATTAGGTCCAGTCGCAGATGACTCTGGGGTTGCGGCGCTCATCTCTCTCTATAGGCTGAGGGAGCCGGCGTTTGTCCTCAGACAGCTTCCGGGTCATATGGCCAGCATGACTAAGCAGCTTCTGGTGAGCCAGAGCAGTGCACGGAAACTCCGTTTACCTTCCCGCTGGAGCGGTACCTATTTATCTACTTGCACTTTGATGTGCTTTCAAACTGCTAGGTGGGCAGGAGCTGGGACCGAGCAATGGGCGCTCACCCCGTCACGGGGATTCAAACCACCGACCTTCTGATGGGCAAGCCCTAGGCTCTGTGGTTTAACCCACAGCGCCACCCACATCCCCATGAGGAGTAGTATCAATGGTCAACCATGGTTAGGAACACACTTTCCTTAAGAACCAATCCGAACAAAACATTTATGAAGTCTGAACCATGATCCATGTTCTTTGCGTCACAGTGCTGTCTATTTCTCCTCTGCGTAAAATAAGAACCATTTCAAATTCTATTTTATAGTCTTTATGGCCTATCCACAATGAATGAAATCTTATGTGTAATCAGTTCATCTTCACCTGCCTGGTCTCTAACAATAATTGTCCCTTATGTGAGAGAATGACATAGCAATTATAACCCACCGTGGTCTCTTATGGTCTCTTTCTTAAAATCATTTTTTTCCATCATTGCCCCTAATTAAGGGCCCAATGCTGGTGTTATATGTTGTGTTCATTTTACTCCCAGAGTATTTCTGTTAAAGTTTGGAATGATTCAAAAGTAAGTACTTTAGACCAATGAACTTGGTAATCAGTTTTGTGTTGTTGTCTCTCTCATGCCCTCACAGTCACTTTGTGACATCATCATTGTTGTATATTTAACTATGGTCTGCCACCTTTTGCTTAGACTGCAGTTTCTTTGACGAACGTACCTTTATTGCAGGCTTCACTGAACTCCAGTGTTTTACTGCAGTGCAAATAGATAAAATATACCACAAAATGTCGGGATGGGCCATTAGAAAAAGGTTTAATCAGCTTCATGGAGGAGAGGTCTGTCTGTGGCTATTAAACCATGATAGCTAAGTGGAACACCATGTTTCTTTGGCAATACGCCGGCCACCATATACCAGTTCCTTGGGGGCAAAAGCAGACCTAGCCTGTTTTGTGGGCTTTCCGGAAGCAACTGGTTGGCCAGCATGTGAAACAGCATATCTGAATGAATGGAACTTCAGCCCTACCCAGAAGGCCTCTTCTTGGTCCATATGTTCAGAGGCTACCTCTGAATACCAGGTACTGAAGACAATCATAAAAGCTAGCTAATAATAATAATAATAATAATTACCCCACCCATCTGGCAGGGTTGCCCTATCCACTCTGGGCGGCTTCTAACACATAGAAAAAAATAATAAAACATCAGACATTAAAAACTACTCAATATGGGGCAGCCTTCAGATGTCTTCTAAAAGTTGTATAGTTGTTTATCTCCTTGACATCTGACGGGAGGGCGTTCCGCAGGGACCTGTGTTTAGACCTGTGTTTGAGCTTCTCAGTGATGAACTAGATGGACACTTGGTGTGATTCAGCAGAGATCTTATATTCTTATTAAAGAGGGATTCATCATCATGGAGGATAGGAATATTGAATGCTGTACTTTCAGCAGTGGATTTCATAATTTATTTGTGGGGTCCATGAGTCACTTTATGAGATCGGTTACAGATAGGTAGCCGTGTTGGTCTGCCATAGTCAAAACAAAAAAAATTCCTTCCAGTAGCACCTTAAAGACCAACGAATACCAAGAACTAACTTAGTTGGTCTTTAAGGTGCTACTGGAAGGATTTTTTTTTGTTTATGAGATCGGTTATTTTAAAAAATCAACGAGGCATTTTTTAGGACAGTCTCTCATGTCCTTCCAGTCTGAGCCAGACTATCCCAGATTGCAGTACAACACCATAGGAAAAACTCTGAATACAGAGCCAGTGCTAAATATCAGTGCTAAATATTCACCACAACACCTCAGGAGGAAATGTGCATAAAAATAAATATACTAGTGAAAACAACATAGAAAAATGCAGTAAATTAGAAATTGCTTGCACAAAAATGTACATTAGTCAAAACTGCACGCAAAAATACATTTATTAGGAGAAATTCACGCTAAAATGCTGAAGAATTTTCATGTGGATTAAAAAAAAATAACAGATTGCTACAGAAATGGGGGACAGAAATGAAAATTGGAAAAATTAAAGATGGAGAGAACTGAAAGTGACAGAACTCTTTCATCCTTACTTATAACTATATTATTCTTAAGGCTGGTGATTGCAATTTTCTTACTCCATGGCAATTGTATTCTTTATAAGATGCAATTGAATGAATATTGACCATTTCTTAACAAATTGATTTTCATGCATAAAGCAGGCCTCAATAAAATTGAAGGTGCAATTTATCCATTATAGCTGTGTCCTAGAGCCTATAAAATCATTCAGATAACATGTTTTTCCTCAACGTATGGCAGTTGATATTTTTGCCACTGTCAATAAATTTCTGAACAAATGCAACATTTTTTAAAATCAGCCTGTACTTCTAGGTAATTTCTTTACACTAAATGAGCCTGTATGAGATAAAGGTAAGGTAAAGGTACCCCTGCCCGTACGGGCCAGTCGTGTCCGACTCTGGGGTTGTGCGTCCATCTCACTTAAGATGCCGGGGGCCAGCGCTGTCCAGAGACACTTCCGGGTCACGTGGCCAGTGTGACAAGCTGCATCTGGTGAGCCAGCGCAGCACACAGAAATGCTGTTTACCTTCCCGCTAGTAAGATCCTATTTATCTACTTGCACCTGGGGGTGCTTTCGAACTGCTAGGTTGGCAGGTGCTGGGACCGAGCAACGGGAGCGCACCCCGCCACGGGGATTCGAACCGCCGACCTGACGATCGGCAAGTCCTAGGTGCTGAGGTTTTATCCACAGCGCCACCCGCGTCCCTCTGTATGAGATACTGTACCCATTATTCATTTAATCTAGTGTGCATCATCAACCACCAAAGCCATTTGAACTTATTATATATAAATACATATATAATCTGCATGAGGTTTTCCTCCACTCCAGCAGTTACCTGAGACAGATTACCTGTTTTAATTTATATAATGTGAAATATTAAAATGTTATAATTTGATGCATATTTTTAACAAGTTTTTACTTTAGCAGCAATTAATACCTTAATTCCATACTACACCTGAAATAATTATACTAACTCTTGCCCCCAGTTTTTTTTTTTAATCATTCTCTGGACCTTTGTGTTGCATTTCATTAAGCCCTGTATATAGTCCCAATTAATCCCCTCCTTCTCAATACATGAACAAACTCCTCTATTACTGCACCATATTTCTTAAATCAGTGCAACTGTGGCATGCTGTGTTAAACAATTATTTGGGCAACAATGTGATTATTTCTTTTAAATCTGCAAGTGAAAGAATGTATCAATTTATTCCTCAGTTGTATCAGTATTTTCAAACACAGCACGCTTTATAATATTTACAGAATTTAGGAACAGATTATTTACAGATTCAAAAGAAATGATCACGTTGTAATCCAAGCAGTCTTTCAAAACAGAAAATTGTTGAGCCTCTTCTCTGAGTTATCTGTCCACGATACGCACATGATGTAAATGGGCAATAATCCATATTTTGTTTCCTACCTAACCCATACTTGAAATATTGGCTGCACAGATCAATCTGATTGTGGTATGGATAGTTTGGCTCTCTAGCAAAATGCCATAACTGTGTTCTTGAAACACAGATATGGTCAAATATGTTCACATTCCTCCATACCCTCCAATTTTAACCACTGTCTTAAATTAGAAATTTGACATGCATCATTGTATTGTATTGAAAAACTGGGCACCACTAGGCCACAATTTCTCCAAGAGTTTACATATTGCATTTAACGCAGTTCAAGACATTTTGCAAAAAGGCGAAGAGAAGAAAAGCAATTGATCAAATAGGTTCATTCACTGAACGATTTCCGGCACATGATAAGAACGGAAGGACGCAAGCTTTGGTCTGTAAAAATCCACAGTTGATCCCGAAAGAATTGGGATTTGTGTGTGAGGGATCTATGGGGTTCGGTCCTG